AAAAGAGCGTACCACCAAGTGGTGGATAACAACGACAGCCATTTTGTTGTCTATTTGATGGCAATAAAAAACTGATTTATAATACAAAAGAGAGTAGAAACCCCGAAGATATTTTCTTCTCAATGAGATGAAAAACTGAGATTCATATATGTTTGCATGTATTTTACAATATACATTATAATATAAAAATACGGGTGTATGTATGTACATGTCTGCTTATGTGTATATACATATGCATGGATTAGTGAATGCGGAAACTCTCCAAGCCCTACAGAGCATGTGCAAAATTGGTAAATACATTCACTTTAAGATGAGAGCCAATAACTATGCTTAAAAAACAGCAACAACGAAAGCTGAGAGGAAACAAAAATCCCTTAAAAAGGACAAGAATATTTTTGCTTATATTTGAAAATTTTTTAAAGCGAAAAGCTTAAAGACTATTTAGTAAAGAGTTTCTTAACTTTAATTAAGCGAAAGCTTACAGAAATTTAAGGATAAAACATGAATAGAAAATAATCAACATCCTTATTATCATCATCATCATCATCGTCATCAAGACTAAGTTAGTGTGTTTTTTGCATTTGTGTGTGTGTGTGTGTGCGTGTCTGTTTAAGTTTATGCTTAAATTTAGATTTCGCTCATTTCCTTTACCCTGTTATGTGATTCTCTTACAAAATTAACCCAAACGACCAAAAATTTAAATGTATCCACAACAGCCGATGAACATGATAGCCGTAGCTACACCAGCGAGCACGACTAGCACCACCGACACCATCAATACCATCGGTATTTTTTGTAAGCACCACCAGAATCACCAGTAACTATTTATTTTTTTATTTAGTTACATATTTAAGCAAATGCTGTTTGCAAAATTTTATTCTGTCGACCATTACTACACTACGGATGGCTACAATTCCCATCATTATCATCATCACATACATCATGTCATATCATTCCTTTGAGAATCATTTGCTTAAAATTAAACGAGTAAATATTATGCTTTCGAAAGGAACATGATTGTGTCGTGTGTTATGTATTATGTTGTTTATATTGTTTTTCCTTTATGCACGTCTCCGCTTTTGTGCAGTTGGCTTTAAGTTCCAAAAATTTACTTCTTTCATTTGTATGTCTGTATTTCAAATGCTAATAGCCAAACAAACAAACAAACAAACAAACAAACAAACAAACGAACAAACATATATACAAATGCTCGTATGTTTATGGAAATGTTGTGTATAATGCATACAATGGGGCTCCTAAGCACTTATTCTTACATTGAGATGTAGGGTATACATACATATATATGTAGGGTATACATATATATATATATATATATATATATATATATATATAGTTACATATATACTTATTCATCAGGATTACCTTCGCATGGCCGGAATTTATGGTCAAAATGTAACAAAACAATATGATGGCTTGTCGTTATATATATGGCCCTTCAAGTTCATAGCTATCGGTACTACTGCTCTTCTTTGAATATATTGCTTTTACAATGGAGGCATGACTATATTTGTGTTTGTGTGAGTATGCGGGTGTGTGTGTGTGTATGTGGGTATGCTATTATGTGCACTGCATTCAAATATTTGTTAAGCATTTAAGAAAAATTTCAAATAAAGAAACCTACACATAGACATAAATCAGCAGAAAATTTAACTTTAAACACTTATTTAATGATAACAATTCAATCGAAATTATTTAGCATTTCTTAGTAGCTTTCAATGTCTATTAATACCACAGTGACGGTTGCTGCAATTCCAGATGCCATCTTAACTCGGCCTCAATTACTGACAGGCTACCAAAAACTGAAGTTCGCCTTCAAGGCCGATGTGTAATTATAGTTAAACGTCCCGTTTCGAATTTTTTCTTTTTTTGCTAATTTTAAGCGCGTGAGTGATGGCTAAGTCAATTAAGTTCATTTTCATATTAAAGCTATCTTTGGCGGCTTCAGTACCTCTGATTCGAATCGACATCTGTCCAATACACATCGTGAACCACTAATGATCGTTTTCAGGACATCTACACCTCGCTGCATTATTACTATAGTGCGGAAGATCGACGTGGACGCAAACACGACTTATCCATCCCTTGTCTAAAGATAATTAAAATATTTATTGGTTGTACGTGGGCACCGTGCCCAAGACTGTGCCTTTTATATGCACCTTCGTACATTGAATGCGGACATTTGTGCTGACACTGTAAGATAGTTAAGAAGATTTTCGTATTCACGCGTAGACTAAATGAGTAATGCATGCCGATGCATATGTGGAATCCATGCTTGTTATGATGAAGAAAAATAGAATTGATTGGAAAAACTTAAGTCTTGGTTTACTTTGCTCGGTTAGTATTAGAGGAGTGCTTGCCCTAATAACGGGCAACGTTTTCGCTAACATTCCATAGGATAAGGGCATACCCTCTGAAAAGTTTTCGGTGAGGATTCCAATGAGACGGGATCGCCTCGACACTACATTTGGCGTATTATGGATTTCAAGGGTAAATTCATTTATCATAGCCGCAGCAAGCAATGCAAATACAATTTCGCAGTCTACGTCGTCGCACTTTAACTGAAATTCCTCATCCAAGCTGGTAAATACGTTCGGAGAGCGGCTTTGTGAAAGTGTGCAGTTCATGCAATCCTTCATTTAGTTACTTTCAGAAAGTAGCAGTATACTTGTCTTCGGAAGGTGTGGGATAGCGTTTTGCGGGACTATTTAACTAAAGTATAATCACTGTTTTTAAGCTATAGCCAGCCCTTCATTCCATTTTTTTTGCGAAGCGAAATTAAAGTTTTTGCCGGATCTTTTTATTTACCTGAAGAAGAATCTTCTTCTCTTGCTTTCAAAACGTGGCATTAGATTCTTTCAGTGAAAACGACCAGCCTCCTCGTGATGGTATCCCCCAGTACTTTTACTTAACTAAACAAGAGACTCTCTTTTAAGTAGACAGTTTAGAGTTTAAAATTTTTGTGGAAAAATTCGTCATTAATGCCGTGTTCTGAAGCCGATGATTTATCCCGTATAAAAATGTACAGATCGTTTGCTTCGAATGCTTCGCTTGATGGCTTTAAAGGCACTCAGTATTGATTTGGATCACCATTATGAAGAATTTTAATTAACAAGCAATTAATGAAGAATATTTCTTTGTCCTAATAGAGTCGCTGTGGTTTGCTGGATATATCAACTAGATTGAATCGTTACATCGTATACGTGATAGGTCGATTTTGATGGACTTGCAAGAGCAAAGCATTTCATAATCCGTAGGCTTGCCATTTATTGAATATAGGAAGAGAAGAGGTCGGATGATTAGGCTTTAATCTATTTGCAATTAAATTTTTTTCATCATGGTTTAAAAAACCTTTATAAAAAATATTAAGAGATTTATGCGGCAAGAACTATTTGTTCCTATTATGGTAATAATTTAGATCATTCAGTTGCTATTTATTTAAAATGAAAAATTGTATTATAATTTCTCTAATTACTCCTTGTTGCTGTTGATATATATATATATATATATATATATATATATATATATTATACGTGACATGAGTGTGTAGATAGGTTTCTGATGGAAATTTTCATTGATTTTTCAAACAGTAAATCATAGATCGCATATATATAGATATATATACGTATATCTATCTATCTATATATATATATATATATATATATATATATATATATATATCCCCTTACAATGTTTATAACTGTTACGAATAATGAATATTTGTGTGTGTTTTACGTACGTATGATAGATAACTAATTTTTATCAAAAATCATGATATATTATGCATGTATGCTAGTCGGCTATTATTGTTGTTATTGCTATTGTTTATAAGTTGGTAATATTTTCATTGTATTGTAGTTTGAAAATATTCCCCAAGTGTTATTTAGTAAAATTACTAAAATGCGATTTAGGTTCAGTAGTACAAGCGTACACGCAGGCAGCGGGAAGAGAGACAGACAGTCAGACAGACGCATCGACGGATGGACGAGTGAACAAACGGACGTTTATGTTTATAATATAGGCATATTCATGTGATTATGTGTATATTCGTTTGTGTGTGCATTGGATACGTGTGTGTTACACGTGTTTGGTTATGCACAACAATGCCCATAAATGCATTCGGTAATAAAGCAAAATTAAACAAATAGAAAAACAAACCGTCAACGCATCTAACATTGATGCTTTCACACATACAACAATACGTTGTATATGTTATAAATTTAGGTATGCAGACTTATAAATCTATAGGCTTAGACAGGTGGACATATAAGCATTTCACATGCATTATATGCTTATGTATGTATGTATAATGTATGGTCACATGGTGATTGTAATGTATTTTAGTTCAACTTATTTATTTGTGGTGTAAACTAGAAACAACAACCACACTAAAAGCATTAATAGCAATACTATCAACAACAACAACAACAATAATAATAATAATAATAATAATAAAAATTTATACTTATTGTTATTGGTGTTTATGTTTAGTTACCTATTTGTTACACTTAACACAAAACAATAGTTTGACAACTGAAATGATTACTAGAGAGGAAATATAATAAATGCATAATATGTATAAATATATTAATGCATTCATTCATTCATTCATTCATTCATTCATTCGACATCGATTTACGAAATTTAGTTATCTATTTATGATATGAGGCATCGATATTTGCATGAGGCATGTATTTTGCATTTACTTAAAGGCGTAGATTTGCGTTACAATCTTAATTGTATATAAATATTGTATTAGTTGAGAAAATCTTGCCAATAGCAGTAAATACGTGTGTGTGTGTGTGTTTGTGTGTGTGTTTGCACGCGAGCTTATATGTCTGTCCATTTATTTGTATATTCTATGATAATAGCTCAAGCTATTGAGTTTATCTTCGGTTTGATTTGTTGTTGTGATATTGGTCTGTTAGTTGACTGGCAAAATTTAAACTTAAACGAAGAAAGAGTAAATAATAACAACTTACCGCTTAAGGAATTATGGCCACAAACCGAAGGCGTCTTACCGAGCAGATAATCATCTTTGCATATATATTTATTATCGTCTAGAACGTAGAGCTGTTCTCCCGTGCTAAGCTGTTTATGGCAGATACAACATGTGAAACAATTTAGGTGAAAAACCTTATCACGCGGTTTTCTAACGAGATCGGATGGTGCAATACCTTGACCGCAACCACTGCATTTGGTGCCGTAGCGTCTAAAATTTTTAAAAGAACAAAAAAAAAAAAAAAAAAAAAAAAACATTATTTACAAAATTTATTAAATATATTTTGACTTAAAAGCAAACATGTTTACAAATGATAGAGCGACGGTCGTTTATCATATGCTTTCAGAATTTGAGAATATTGAGTACTTTAAGTTTAAGGTTACACCCAAATATTTAATCAAGTATTTATTTATTTTTTCAATATCATAATAATACTTCACACCAAAACTTCTTTTTTATTTTTGGCGATCAGACGCTTATTAGCGCCAATTTGCAATTATTAAAAGTTGAATGCTAAGCGAAATTCTTAAATAGTCATCTAAAAAAAAATATTTCGAATTTGTGCGTGTACATGTTGAATAACGCGTGTACATGTGGTACGCCGTTTAAAGTGTATAAGTGCAAGGAAGGCAAATACGAATATTGCACATAGGCAAGATGTCAATCTTGAGGAGTAATCACTGAGGCACTACGCTATATATATATTGTTGTGTGCGACACTAAATTGGAGAGTGATATGTTTTTGATCTGTGACACCTAAAAGAGAGGCAGAGGGAGAGAGAGAGAGAGAGAGAGAGAGAGAGAGAGAGAGAAAGACAGAGGCGGTGGCCAGCATACCACATCTCAACAAATCGCGTTATTAGAATCCGTGCCTTTATTAAAAAAAATTTGATTCAGTTCCAATAGGACGGAGCAGTATTTCACACAACTGTCAAAGGACAGGATTAACATTACTGAAAATGAGGCGCGATAAGGGAGACCTTTTTAATAAAACAACAAATATCTACGGTATTCGGTTTATATCAATCATAACGATCCAGCCTCAATAATACCACCAGAAGTACAGCGATCAAGAGGAATTCCCTTCCACTGTCCACACTCCGCCTATCTCCTCACGTCAAACAAAGTATTGATTACGTGCTATTCAAAGGGCTGTGCATCTCGCTGACGATTTAATAGCCAGGCTAGCATCGTGTCGTTGCTAGAACTAATCCGCAATGATTATCATGGGCAAAATAACTCAGCGCATGGGCCGTAAATCATAACATATTTTTAAAGCAAAGATCCACTGGCCAAGAATTCAAAGTTCTCGAATAAAAATTCCAATTTGTTGCTCAGCATATTCCTTGCTGTAAAATTTAATAGAGCCGCTGCAGGGTAACACCAGCAGACAGTATTCAGTAAAAATGAAAAGCTTCTGACATTAGTTTTGAGCACAATGTCGCGACGTAATGTAGTAGTCAAAGAAAAAAATCGAATTTTTGAAATTACAGTCCGATGATAGGCGCCGTGAAACCCGCAGCAATGTCAGCGGTTCCCGTTATCGGGCCATGCTTTCATGATATTTTTAAGAAAAACTAAACGAACTGAATGCCTCTTATATACGATTTCAATGAGACGAATATCGATGAACAGCGCTTTTCGTGGAAAACCATATAGAAAGAGAAAGATAAACAAAAAGAAAGAGAAAGAGAGAGAGAGTGTTACATTATTTTTATATATTTCTTGAAAATTGTTAACTAAATTGTTTAATTAACGGAAAATCGAAATGCTCTGGCGTTCTTTGTCTTGTTAAGTGATTCTTTAGATATATAGAAAATAGAAAATGGAAAGAAAGTAGGAAAAAAAAAACTTTCTTTTCAATTGCATAACAAACACGATCAATGTACATGTGTTTGTCCTGATATACGTATATATACATTAATCTGCAATATGCAAATAGTGAATGAAATAATAGAATCACCGTTGTTCACTCGCATTGTCATTTTAACGACAACAGTGACTTGCTTGTAAGGATAGCTCGCATTGTGGATTTGCGAGTGTGAATGGCGGTGTTCGACGATTGATTTTTCTTTTACATTTTTGTTTGCTGGTTGAAGCTTTAAAAGATGGTTGAACGAACAAAACGTACATAATAGTATGTATACGTATATATATGTAGAAGGTAACCAAGTGTTCAAGTATCCCAGGTACCGCTATTGTTGTTTCTATTAAAGATTTTCTGTTTTTCTCATTTCTTTCGTTTTATTTTTTTTTTTTCCAAATCGTAATTGATTTTTCTTTATTTTTATTGTTCAATGAGGTTCCTTTTTAAACTTGGATTTCTTTCTTCTTCTTTTTTTTTTTTTTCTTTTTCGCCTTTAATACATGAACGAAATATTGCCGCTTTTATGCAAAGTTAATTGAATGGCTTTTTTTTTTTTTCTATATAGTTGTGGTTTTCATTATTGTTGTTATTGTTGCTGTTGTTGTTATTGTTATTGTTGCATTTTTTTAATAGCTTCGCTTTCGCTGTACTTACCTATAAAAGTCATTCCGGCAATATAATTTGGACTCTCGACTAAAGCATTTATCTGTAAGTAGCTGAAGGCATTCACAGCAACGCACGCATGACGCATGCCAACCACGTTCTAAAACATTTAACAAAAATTTATCTAATATTGGTTTATTACAGCCGGCACACGGATCCCCAACACCGACCGGCGGTTCACTGCGCCCTAAAAATACAAATAAGAAAAAAACAACAAAAAAAAAAAGAATGATAAATCATACAGTTACAAACACATTCGCACTTTATATTTATTTATATTTAAATAATAGAATATAGCGTAACTACATTAGCCTAGGACTCGAAAATCGTCCGAAACCAAAAAATGGGCGAGCGAAGAAGAGAGACAAATAGAAAGACAAAATTATTATGAAGTTATGAAGAATGAATTCAGAAATATTGAGCTTTCATTGAGAAATTATATGAAAAAATATTGCAACGTTTCAAGCGGACAAGGCCGACCGATCATTCGGCATGACGCTTTCGTTTTACGCAATCATATATACATGGCGCTACTATAATATATATACTATAACTATACATACATATATATATATTTAAATAGAGTCGTCTTTACACTTTAAAGTGGACCTTGTACAACTTCGCGGTAAATTTTTCGCGCGAATGAATTATGCGCCATATAAGCGTCCTTTAGGATTTAGTGGCAAGCTTGTTTCAAGTACACCAAATATGATTAAACGAAAATTCCTTTCCTGGTGTTCATTAACAATCTTCTGTAGTTGACGTAAAACTTCTTTGCTCATGCGCCGGCGACAAGTTGTGTGTAAATTGTGTGACTTGTGTTCCTTCTCAACCGCACTGAATCGTAACCGACATACTTAATCGAGATCTCATCAAAATTTCCGAGTCCGGACAGGAGGAGCGATCAATACGCTCTTACACTTTTCATTGCATTAGTGTAGACGAAGAATAGTAGTAGTGCTTGTTGTTTTCGGCATAAGAATACAAAGTAACATCTGGTGAACAGAACAACGATTCGACGTATTATGCTTGGGATTTTAAAAAGGGACATAAAAAATCGTTTACTGCATCCGACGCTCGTACCATTCGGCCAACATACGGTATATCTCGCATATATAGAGAGTGTCAATTGAGTACGATGGCGAAGGGCTTGGATGCTCAGGGGTGATGGGACTGCGTCCAACACTCTCGACTCTCATAAACATCAACAAGCTGTTACTGGCAGTTACTATGGTTACGTAGCTACGTAGACCTAACTAAATCCGCGACAGTTTCAGTTCATCGACAAAGTCCTTCAATACGTTTAATAAGTCTACTCGGCTTATTGACTAGCTCACCGTAGAGGTGCTCGAAGACAATCCCACGACTACTCGCTCTTAAATCGCACTGCTCACCTTTAGAATAAGCTATCCGCGGTAATCTTTTCTACTACACTCCAGACATTTGAACTTTCAAATCGAACATGCACACGGACGAATCCCTCCTTCTTGCCCCCTCTAATTTCTCCTATAATTCCCGCCTTGTCACCGGTCATAGCTTGAGTAACTGGCCGTTTCAAAAAAAAAAAACAAAAAATAAAGTAACACAAAGATTCTTCTTTAGTAGTCTTCAAAGATTCCTTTTGTCGAAAAATGGGGAAAAAAATGTATTCACGACATTTTAATGCAAAAGTGTAAGCTTAGTGCTCGCTGGAGCAATGAAAAAAGTCAAAGTGAAAAGTAAAACGAAAGTATGTTTTCCCTGTGCATAACAATTTGTTGGTGTTCCTTGCATTAGAATGGTAAGTAAAACGGGCAAAGGAGATGCAGCGGAAAAGGAGATTCAACTCAATCGTTTCTCGATGTTTAGGTAGGTTAGGACGTCGTAGATTATCTGCTTCGGATTAATTTGCAATTTTTATAAATTTTCAAGTTAAGAAGTGTTGCTCTTAATTAGTCATGTTCGGTGCAGTAGGCCTTGTTCGTTGATATGTTACAAACTTTCACTTTCCCAATGATTTCTGATGCAACTAAAAAAATCGTAGAACGTGAGTAATAAATATTTGATGCACTTTCGCAGTTAACTTTATTTTGAAGCGCTATCAACCGAGATATTTGTTGGAATATAAACAAATTTGCATTGAAGGGTTGCAAGCATGTCTGCAATTAACTAGGAAAACAACGTTAAAATAATCTGCGATTAGTTTTTTTTGAAAATTTAGAAGAAAAAAAAATAGTTTTGTTTTCTTGTCATTTTATTTGATCAGATTTTATATATAGGATGTGTAATTCTCATTCCGATGCGTATTATTTGCAAAAGAAAATTTAATAAATTAGCGGCAAGCGTTCAGTGGCAACGCGACAGTTATTTTTAGCTTTAAGTTACTTTCGCTCACCGGGACCTTCAATCACTTAATGAGTTTAGGATTTAATTACCACCTACACACACGCAGGCAAATATTCGCATGAAAGCTTCGCTTATACATGTTCATGTACGAGTGTACATTATTAACTTTGTTAAATTTGTTTAATTACGATGTAGAGGTGTTAGTAAGAAAATAACACAAACGCATAAACGCGTATATACGTATATACGAACGCACATAAATGTCAAAATGACCATTCTCACACTGGGGAATGTGTTCCTGTAATTAGGAGCAAGGGTAACCAGCGGCATAAACAGAAGCTGTTAAATGTTACGCAAATTTA